TATATATATATATATATATATATATATATATATATATATATATAATTATTATATATTACATATATAATATATTTATTATGTATATTATATATATAATACATATTATTTTATATATATATATATATATATATATATATATATATATTCTAGGTTGAAAATTTAAATTTTTGTATATACGCGGAAGAGAAATAATTCCGTTAGTATAACTAAATTTTTTGTTACTTGAGAGACACATGTAAAACACGGTACTAGGAATAGAGAAATTCTTATAGGAACTTTTTATTCAGTCAATTGTTAACTGTTATCTTAACCGAATTTTAATACAGCTGAGTGTTCGGACGAATGTTTTCAGTCACAGTAACAGAAATAAATTTTCTCACCAGTAAATTTTCCGTCTGGTTCATTCAGTTACAAATTGAAATTTTTTCTATATGAAGGCCAAAACAATTTAAATGTTCAAAATTAGGTATATGTCCAAATTTTGGTACTTTATTTTTATCGTCACCCATAATCGGTAATCATAAAAGATCTGTTTATATCCAATATATCCTTACTATATACACTGCAAATCCAAATAATTAATTTTTACACACAGTTTTAATGTTTAATTTTTACTTACGTATGTAAAATTGTGCAGTCACTTTTTACGCCCTTATTACACGTGTTACTGTTTCTACATGTTTCATATGTGTCATTTTACACAGTTAAATGCATACTTTTTGTATATGTACAAATTAAATTACATAAATACCTAAAATGTGTATTACACATCAAGAATAAGCTATTTATATTGTAAAGATAGTTTCATAATGTTTTATTAAATGATTTGATCAACTTATGATACGCAGGTTAGAATTTTGAATCTCGAGTCAGAACTGGATCGTGTGAAGTCCCAGAAAAACGTTCAGGAGAGTAAGCAGCAAGACGAAAAACTTACGGAATCCTTAAGACAGGAAGCACAACAAGCGAAAAAAGATGCGGAAAAAGCCGAGAAGGAATACACTAGCGCTGCCGAGGAAAGAGATAAAGCGAAAAACGAATTAGAAGAAATGAAAAGAATGTATACAGCGTTGGAGAGACGCATGAAAGTTGGTATGTAATTAAGAGTATTTATTTTGTAGAAGTTGATAATACTTGTATTAACAATCAACTGCTTCTCTAAGCTTTCTAATCGCTTGAATTCTTGAAAACACTTGAATTCTTATCGTTATTTTAAAGGAAGCATTATTAGTTATATCATTCTAATTGTACCTGTTTTACATATTCCCATGCGATTCCACATATATTTATAATACGTACATATTATTGTTAGTTGCATGTTGTATATTTTACATAAGAATAAATGCTATCACTACAAAATCACTATAAAAAAATAAAAGTTTTCGTTTCAACAAAAAATTTTAATTTTCTATATCAAATAACTTAAAGGAGTGTTGAATTTAAGGAATTTAAAAAATATATATAAAAGGGCTAATTTGAGCTCAAGCACATATATAATAGTGCTATTATATCATATAGATAAAGCCTTCCTTATGTTAGGAAATAGAGAAATCCTTTATTAAATATAACATAAATCATCCAACGTTTCGGCTCAATCGTGAACCCTCTTCAGTGATAATTACAATAAAATAAAATTACTCAAGGATTGTACAGAAAAAATTACAAAACGATGATATCGTGACTCGGGCGAAACAAACAGATCTCAATATTCTTCTTGATATTACAATCGACAAAAACGTTAAGAGAACAGTGATTTTACAGTAGATAATTTGATCCAAAAATTTGTGATGTGTCCGTCATAACTCTAAACATTAAAAAACCCCCCCAAAAAAACAAAATTAAGTAAGAATTGTAATATCAATATATAAAAATAAATATTTAAGTAATAAATTACCTCAGATAAAAGTAAGCTATTATAGAAATGTGAAACGTTGCTGTCGATGCCAATATCACCAAGTCAGGGCAATACGAATAATAACAAATTTATATACATTAGAAGATATCGAAGCGGTAAACACGTGGAAGAGAAGGAAAACAAAACCGAGAGACTATCATAATAAGCCGCAGTAGCTGTCGCCCAGATACTCTATGTCCTTTTGTGAATTCAATCCATGCCTTTGGAATTTAATGTAAATCATCTCTGCAATCAGGCGTTTCAAATAAAAACGTTCTTCATGCAGAACCTTGACATGTTTCCAGTCAAAATCGTGATCCTCCTTGATTCGGTGTTCCTGTACAACCGTCAGTTCCCCCAGTAAATTTTTGGGGGTTCTCCTATGCTCGGCAATACGTGTGGAGAGTTTTCCGAGATGTGAACTGGATGTTGAGAATGAAAAATCAAATTTGACTGTTTCTGCTATGAATAAGAAAAAATTCTTTACTATACCGTTTTTTGGTGTGATTTCGCACAGACTGACAAAGATTTTCAAAAATGATAGTACTAGTATTGCTTATTCTTGCGCTAACAGATTATCGGGATTGATACGAGTACATAAAGATGGGCTTCCTCTTGGTTACCATAATAACGTTGTTTATAAATCGGAATGCGGTAATTGTGAGGCTACATATGTTGGACAAACCAGCAGAAGACTCTCCACACGTATTGCCGAGCATAGGAGAATCCCAAAGATTTTACTGGGGGAACTGACGGTTGTACAGGAACACCAAATCAAGGAGGATCACGATTTTGACTGGGAACATATCAAGGTTCTGCATGAAAAACGTTTTTACTTGAAACGCCTGATTGCAGAGATGATTTACATTAAATTCCAAAGGCATGGATTGAATTCACAAAAGGACACAGAGTATCTGGGCGACAGCTACTGAGGTTTATTATGATAGTCTCTCAGTTTTGTTTTCCTTCTCTTCCACGTGTTTATCGCTTCGATATCTTATGCCAATGTACATAAATTTGTTATTATTCGTATTGCTCTGACTTGGTGATATTGGCGTTGACAGCAACGTTTCACATTTCTATAGTAGCTTACTTTTATCTGAGATAATTTATTATTTAAATATTTATTTTTATATATTGATATTACAATTCTTACTTAATTTTGTTTTTTTGGGGGGGTTTTTTAATGTTTAGAGTTATGACGGACATATCATAAATTTTTGGATCAAATTATCTACTGTAAAATCACTGTTCTCTTAACGTTTTTGTCGATTGTAATATCAAGAAGAACATTGAGATCTGTTTGTTTCGCCCGAGTCACGATACCATCGTTTTGCAATTCTTTCTGTACAATCCTTGAGTAATTTTATTTTATTGTAATTATCACTGAAGAGGGTTCACGATTGAGCCGAAACGTTTGATGATTTATGTTATATTCAATAAAGGATTTCTCTATTTCCTAATATAAGGAAGGCTTTATCTATATGATATAATAGCACTATTATATCTGTGCTTAAATTCAAATTAGCCCTTTTATATATATTTTTTAAATTTAATTTTTTTGGGTTCTTTGTTTGTTTATAAATTAAGGAATTTATTTATTTAAACAAAAATGTTATATAAAAATTTAACGTTTATCGCAGTAAAACACAAGATATATCAAATTGCCTTTGTGTATTTCGCGACTTTCCGTGAGAAATTCATAGCGATTCCTGCAAGCACTAAAGTTTGAGAATAATAATGTCCATTTGAAATAAAAAAGATTATAAATACGGAATTTTAAAAAATGTGATACATTTTTTTAACAATGACAGCGAGCATGTGGACAATCAGTTACAAGTTTTAGCCATTCTTTGTACTAATAGGATTAAGTTTTTTTCAGGCTTTTTAACACCGCTTATAATCTAATGCCTTTCTTCGCTTTGTTTTTTTCGTTTCGCTTAACAGCAGAAGAGCTTGAATCAGTTGAGGCTGAACCAATTGTTCAGCTAATGGAAGATTGGAAGGACGTAGGATACGCGATGTACGATTTTACAGGAATGGCACTGGCCGGTTGTCCTAGCGCAAAGGACGTAGTCAAAGTCGCAACGCAGAAAAGTATAGATAAACAAGATCCCAGTGAAAGCGAGGAGGAAGAGGAGAGTACAGAGGAAGAGGACGAGGAGGAGGAGGAAGATCCAAAAGCTGCCGCAGAAAAACGAGCGCAGAGGGAAATTAAATTTCTCATTTCGAAGATTAAGAGCTTCAAGTGAGTGTAATGATAAATGCGCGTTAGAATCGCGCAAATGATCGTACTTTTATAACACGTTATAAAGGAAGAAAAAAATGAAATTATGTATAATTAATATTTCATCTAAACAGGGACAAGGCGGTAAACGCTCGAAAAGAGAGGCATGCACTAAAGGAACAAATCAAGCAGCAGCAAAAATTACTAGGTGAGGAAAAGAAGAAGTTTAAGCAGCTGCAAAAGGAAGTGGACAAGATGGCTAAATTAATGTCGGAGAACGACGAAGAGGAGGAAGAGGAAGAGGAGGAAGAAGAAGAAGATGAGGAGGAAGAGACGGAATCTGAGGAAGAGTCGGAATCCGACGAATCGGAAGAAGAATCCGAATCGGACGACGAGAAAGCACCTTTCGAGCAACGTAAAAATATATTTGAAGTAAGTTTATAAAGCACTTATAACAGATATCGAAGGCTTCCTTGCACATAAAAATATGTTCTCTTTTTTAGAAGCGCGTTAAAAGGCACGAAGGACGGCTGGCGGCTTTGAAGAAAGGCAATTATTTACTCAAGGCCCAAGTGGATAGGATTAAGGACAATTTGGTGAAACAGCGAGAGCAGAGTATTACCCTGCAGGAAGACCTCGACTCTGTCTTAGCGGAGCTAGGTTAGAACGTAAGGAAAAGATATTTTCTGAGAGTACAGAAAATGTATACATACACGTATAAATATTGCATATTGAAATATAGAAAATATTATACGTAATGAAAAGAGAAATGATTACACATACACGCATACACTTTTACTCGAGCCATTTTTACACGAGGAGCGACGTCGTTTATTCGTCACACAGGAGTGTTTGCCAACTTCGTCACAAAGAATATAATACACATACAATGTGTCCTACCACACGAAGCGTTTATCGCGAAGGTATTCTCTTTATGACTGCCAAGAAGTTACCTCCACATCGCAATTGCAGAAGCCCGTGTTATTTGGCGCTAAATATGATCACTCGTTTTACTTAACTCGCGATAATCTCTTCTTCATAATATTCTTCTTTTCTTATGCTGCAATTATAAGCGAATATACGAGTAAATTGTAAAATCGTAAAGTCGTAACTTACGATCAATCAATTGTAATGCTGGTAAAATTCACAAACTGTAACTTTATCGACAACTTCTAATTAGTCGTAAGATTTACGAGAAATCGTAGATATTTACGAGTTATCGTATGACCGATTGGAATTGTAGATTTACTCATAAGTTCTTATGAGTCTTGCGAGAACAACTCTACTAAAAATTTCTGTTGAGATAACAACAGAATTCCCAATTCAATTCTCAGTTGAATTCTCAATTGAATTCTTAAATGCGGTTTCCGCAAAATTTCGCATGTAAGATCTCAATTGAGATATTTGTATTT